GAAATGTGATGGGAATAACACCTTCTTCCCTTTTCTTCATCATTTTCATTCAAGCTCAAAAGGCACCTCTTATTCATCTTCCATGGATCATTGGAAACCCCATATTCTTTGTATTTCCACAACCTTATTCCACAACTTTTTCTTTCTTTTCTTTTCATTCTTTCTTCTATTTTTTATATGGAGGGTTCCATTTTTCTCAAAACATGGGCAAAAAGGGACTCTTTGCATTTTCTTGATTTGCCTTTTCTTTACACCACACCCCCAACTTAGGCTTTTGGTCTAAGTTGCCTATTCAAACAAACCAAAAATCATGAGGATTATGGATGATGGATCAATAGAAGGTCGCAATGTTATCAAGTTTCTTCCAAGAAAAGGTTAAGGCTCAAAGGGTGCTCAAAAGAGGTTCACACACTCACAAGGTAAGTCACAAAAGAGGTATAATGTCAAATTGGTTCACACTCTTTAAAGTTGCCTAAGATCATCTCATAAAATTGCATCACTCAGTCAACTGGACCAACGGGGCAAATTTTAGGTGTCATCACACATGGTTCACTGTAAGCTCATCACACAAGGCGTAGACACCAATGTCAAACAAGGCTTTCACTCTTTCGCTAGTGTGCATAGTTCATCACAAGAGACTCAATTCGATACTTGGCTAGTCACAATGAGATGCAAAGAGTTCACATATTGTCTAAGCAACTTCAATTGGCCTCGTCGTAGCCGCACATTTATTTTCGTTCGATTATGAGCACTATTCGAGTCTCGATATTGATCAAAACCGATATACAAATATGCACGAGAACAAACACATTCAACACAAACAAGAGGTGGCGAAAAAAAATTGGAAAAATTTTTAGAAGGGTCAAAAATCATTTACTATTAAAAGCAAGGAGCCACAAGCTCAAGTATCCATAAAAGAAGTTTTAAAACATAATTTTTAGCTGAAAGCCCAAATATAAACAAAACAAGAATTACAAATGTCACACAAAAGGTGAGCCTCACCCCACCACGAATAAAAACATTTGTCCTCAAATGCAAACAAAACTGTAATATCCACAAGTCAAAATAAAAGTAAGACAGAGAGGGAAGTAAAGAGGGGATCCTATCTAAGCAGTCGCTCCATCTCTCTGGGAATCCATGCACGGTGCATCAGTCTGGACTTAGGCATCAGAGCCCGAAGTTGCCTCAGAAGAAACAGCAGTACCAGACCCACTAGGAGCTGCTATAGAAGTCTTGGTCCGTGATGTCTGGATCACCGACTGCATGATTGTTTCCCTAAGATCCGGCAAGTCTCTATATATGCTCTCTTCCCGTATCGTTATCTGCTCCTCATCGGTCTCAGCATCTGACTCGTCAACTGCTGCCTCATCCCTGGGTACATCTCCGGTGGTAGCCGGAGGGATCTTGAAGTCTCAGGAGCATCCAAATCATTTGCAGCCTCTATTAATGAAGTGAAGTCGGTATACTTCAAATAGTCTACGTCATTCCTCAAGTCTGCTACCTTGGCTTTCAAAGCCGAAATCTCAGAGGTTTCCCTCTGCCTGCTCTCACAAGCTTCAACTCTCGTAGTGGGAGTGTCAATCGAAGTCTGCAAGGGGTCAGTGCAGCTAAGATCGCAACCTCAATCATCAAGGGGACAGATCTTTCTAATCGGGTTACCCTCACATCAGTTGAATGGGCCAAATGCCCCATCCTCAGGATCATCGCCTGAGTAATCTTGGTCGACTGGGAGGAAGAGGAGGTGCCTGGAGCCTGTGAAGAAGAGGAAGGGATAGAATTAGTTGAAGACCCAGAGGTCGGAGTAGGCAAAGATGCCTTTGTATGTATCAAATCAACGTCCACTTCTGGGGATGTGTCCACTGGAGCTGTCCTCCTCCTGTCACCCTCCTCTCTAGTATACTCGGCCTCAATGCGCTGGATGTCAGTGGAGGAGGACGGGGTAACATCATAATCTCTAGCAGTATCCCAGGGCACTCCAGCATGTCGGGATATCTCTGTGATCAGTACTGGGATGGGAGAAAAGGACTGCTTCTGCTTGGCTCTCATGGCCATTTCCTACTCTATGAGAAAGCCCAAGTTGAGCCGCCTCTTTGATAAGATAGACCCCAAGTAGGCTGCTTTTGCATGTCGGAGGATAGATTCATTCTGTGAAGGCATAAGTGAACTACTAATGAATCTGAACCAATAACGGGCAGCTATATTCAAATCCTTCTTTTCGATCTCGACTCCCGCCTCAAACCACCTAGGAGTGGTATTAGAAATAATGGGTGCAAGCTAACCCTTTAGATCCTTGACTTCACGTATTCTGGAGCTTCATCCAAAACTAAGTGACCACAGTTGTTCAATAGTAATATAACCCAACTAGTGACTTAAGGTCGAGTCCCAAGGGAGGGGTTCATAAATGAGAATCAATAGAAAGAAAAAATGAGTTCAAGTCAATCATAGCGATAGACATTTATGAGTAAAAACAGGGTAAATTAAAGGGTGACACGAGTGTCAATTATCGAATGGGGTTTTATAGTCAATAAGCAACTAACACGACAACTCAAAATGAAAATACAAATATGGAGACGGGATTCTATGGATATGATAGGAATATGGGCTAAAATAAACAACCGGGTAAATGCTATTGATAGTAACTCGTTGTAAATTGGTAACTAAGCTAGATTTTCTCTCGAACAATTTACCCTGAATCAAATCAGTTTCTCTCGAACACCAATAAGCGACAATGAAGCACAGCCTTCGCCTTAGTCCATTCACTCTCTCGAGCTAAATGTGTGGGAGAGGGTTTAGGATTCACTCTCTCAAGTTGAACCCACGACAATCCAATACCACAGATTATCGATTCAGTAGTTTTGGTTTTAAAACCTCTCTCTCGAGCAAGTCAAAAACATGAAGATAAGATTGTATTTGCAACTACAACCCCATTAAATTCAAACACAACTACTGAGCGAAATCACCTCTAAACAGCAAATAAACTATCAATTAGTAACACCCAGCAGTAAATTCAACCCATATTCACATATTCACACCACCAGAATTGGGGTTTTAGCTAGACATAGTAAAGAGATAGAAATTGATACCGAAAAGTGTTTTCATCAAATGGGTATGATAGATAGTGTCTTTACACACGTCTAGGATGAATAATCTTCAATACCCACTTCCAATTGCTAAGAAATGGATACCTTCAAATCTTCAAAGCTAAGGAACAAAGTCTCCAAAACTCTAAGTTCTAAAAACTGAAAATAAAATTTGATACTGGTTGCATACAAAATCTAATAATTTAAACAAGTATTTGTAGTTGGCAAAAAGTTTGTTGCGAAGGACTACATGGCGCAGTTAGTCGGGATCGTCGATCCACTTGGCGATCCACCCTTTGGTCTGGTTCATCGCCTTTCTGCATTGGCCAACAAATTCAAGTTCTGTAACTTTGGGCAATGGAGTACTACATCGCGGAATCGTTCGGCGAGTCACCGACTACTCCTTTATCTCGCCGACTCGATTTTCTCCTTTAGAGCTTGGCACACTGGAACATTAGGCGAGACTATAGCCATTCGGCGACTCGCCTAATGGTTTAGGCGATCCTCAGGTTGTCTCTTCTTTTTTTTTTCAGCTGCCTTGTTCCTTTCTGCCCAATAGTGTCCATGCTTAGTATCTAATTCCAGATACTTGAAACTCAAGGATTTTCATCAGTTATCGAGACAAAATATGCATTTGAGGACACTAAATCTATTAAAATAAAGCCTTAAAAGAGTCCAAATCATGGACTCATCAACACCCCCAACTTAAACTTTTGCTTGTCCTTAAGTAAAACTCAAGTTCAGCAGTTCAAAAAGGATGTCTCAAACAGTGCTACACAAGACTCAATCATGAATGCACACAAAAAGACTTAACTTACTCGTGCAAGGATCAATTGTGCACTCAAAGATTCAAGTTGTGACTCACCATTACCAAAGAATCTCAAGCTCACTATACTTTCTTCAAATGCAAGTTCAAGCCCAACAAAAGTGATCAAATGCCCTTACATAAAGAATGATTCCATATTCACAAACAATAGTTCAATCATTTAAAGTTCCAGAATCAAGATCAACACTCACACTCACAAATATTAACACAATGCATGATTTCACCCATAGGTTTCCCCGTATTTTCCATCCAACATTTGTTTCAGCTCACTCAAGATCAAAAAGGTCTTTTCAAGGCTTGTAACGGGGCTGAGTGCAAAGGTATGGTCATTTAGGCTCATTGGCTATAGTCCTCATGAAATACGGTGTGAACAATATTTCCTTTCCTTTTCTTCAACAATTTTTTTTCCATTCGTGCTTTCAAGTCATCCCATTATTCACTTTCCATGGACTGTTGACAACCCCATTTGTTTTTGTCTTCTCACAACTTTATTCCACAGCTTTGTCATTCTTTTTTTTCTTTTTCATTCTCTTTTTTTTTGTATGGAGGGGTTCCATTTTTCTCAAACTCATGGGTCACTACAAGAAAAATGACTTTTAACGAAAGGAAATTTGGTCGTTAAAAGTCCATATCCAGTCGTTAAAGGTCTATAACGACCGGGCAAAAATTGGTCGTCGCCCATCGTTAAAAGCTCCGTCGTTAAAGGTTACCGACCGGATTGCATTGCCGGCCGTTAGTTATCACTTAGCGACAATGATAAATTCGGTCGCTACATTTACTAACAACGACCACAAATTCCCTTCGTTGATGGTCATTTGGTCGTTAAAACATTGAAGTAAAACCACAATTTCCAGTCATTACAAGTACTTTTAGTGGTCAGATTCTTTCATTGATTACATTACTTTTACCGACCAAGTTTAAATTCCTTTCGTTGCTTTTAATAAATTTAACGACAAAGTTTGTTTTACAAATTTAGTTTCAAATAATTATATATAGTTTTTATGTTCCTCGAGCAGTTCCGGATCTTAATATCATTTCTTTTTTTTTTCACAAGCCATAAAAATTTAATATAAAATTTCATAATTGTTTTGCCATGAACGAAAATATACTGGAAAAATTGCATATAAATGTGTGTTCAACAGTATCTAAAAAACATAGATGTTCAACATAAGATCTAAATAACATAGATGTTCGACATAAGATTATAAAACATACATGTTCGACATCTATTGAATCCTAAAAATTGAGAAAATGAAATAGCTGCACAGGTTAAAGTGTCTCTAGATCTGCACCAACAATAAAAATATAATCTTTCTTTTCACCTGGCACCACAATTCTTCAAGAACACGTTCTTTAATCTTCATCACATTCTTCATCACATTCTTCATCTGTTAAAAAAAAACAATTTGAGGTCATTTCGTAACAGAATGCCGGATAGCTATAACTTATAACTTTTAAAGTATAAATCAATCATTTAATCACCAAAGAGCCCAAAAGTTGGCACTGCATAATTCTCATCAGCATCAGAACTAGTAAAGTCAAAGTGTGGAGCCAATTTTGGAACAATATAGGCCTGTGATTTTTTTCAAAGTTCATTCTTGGTACAGTTGCTCCACAATTCACAGGGATTTCTATTATTGAAGATGGAAGTGAGGGTATAACTATGGAATTAGAGATGCAATGGGATGGGAATCCAAGCATAATACTCGATATCAAGACTTATGTAGGTGTAGCATTACCAGTGCAGGTGAAAAACATTGGGTTTACTGGTATTTTCAGGCTCATCTTCAGGCCACTTGTTGATGAGTTTCCTTGCTTCGGAGTTGTATGCTATTCTCCAAGGCAGAAGAAAAAGCTGGATTTTACGCTTAAGTAATTGGTGGTGACATGACAGCAATTCCTGGCCTTTCTGATGCAATTGAGAGAACCATCTGGAACGCTGTTGAAGACTCTATCATGTGGCCAGTACGAAAAGTTATTCCCATTTTACTTGGGGATTATAGTGACCAGCCTACCGGAGTATTGTAGATGAAACTTGTTCAAGCAAAGGAATTAACAAATAAACATAATGTTCAAGCAAAGGAATTAACAAATAAAGATATCATTGGAAAATCTAATCCTTTTGTTGTATTATATGTAGGCCCTCTACGAGACAGAATGAAGAAGAGCTAACAATGATTTGAACCCAATTTGGAATATGAGCATTTTCAGTTCGTAGTCGAAGATCCATTGACACAACACTTGGTGGTAAAAATCTATGACGATGAAGGGCTTCAGTCAGCTGAACTAATTGGATGTGCCCATATCTGTTTGAATGAGCTTGAGCCTGGTAAAGCGAAGGATATCTGGTTGAAGTTGGTGAAAGATTTGGAAATTCAGAGAGATAAGAACAATAGGGTCCAGGTGCACTTGGAGCTATTATACTGCCCGAATGGCATGAACAATGGGCTAAGTAAGCTTTTTTCTCTGAATGAGTCAATGATTTCATTAGAGAGAGTTCATAAAAACTCGGCAGAAGGAAAAGAAGTTAGTCCAAACGGAAGTGAAATCAACAATAGAAGAGAGGTAATAGTACGAGGGGTACTTTCTGTTTCCGTGGTATCAGGTAATGACCTGCCCCCAGCTGATATAGGGGGAAAGGCTGACCCCTAGGTCGTTCTGATCATGAAGAAGGCTCAAATCAAGAGCAAAATCAGGGTTGTAAATGAAAGTCTAAACCCGGTATGGAATCAAACTTTTGACTTTGTTCTTGAGGACGGATTACATGACATGTTAATGCTGGAAGTCTGGGACCATGACACATTTGGAAAGGATTTCATGGGAAAATGCATACTGACTTTAAAAAGGGTTCTAATTGAAGGTGAATACAAAGACTCGTACGAATTAGCTGAGGTTAAATCAGGGAAACTGAACTTGCATCTCAAATGGAATCCACAACCAATATACAGAGACTACCAGTGATGAACATCAAACTTCAGTTTTATAATCTTGTTAGTTTTGTACAGGGAGTAAAATTTCTCTGATTCCCTAATTGACTAGGAACGACAGCACGTATAATCGAATATTTTATGTACATGATTTATTATAAACAGAAGAGAGATACTGTAAAGCTGTGAAACTTTTGAAGAGAAGCTGAAGTTGAAGCTGGACAAGAATAAAAATTAAGTAATTTTTCAAAAAAAAAGAAAGTTCAACAAGTTTAGAGATAATTATTCTAAAACTATAACACAGTAAGGATTAAACACGCAACACAAATACTAAGGTGAACATGCAGGAAAGGAACTCAGTTCAGAACAAAGGAATACATCCTGATTAAAACAGAGATATGCATAATTCTATAAGCATGTAGTCTCGTTCATCATGGAAAGTAGTACAACTAAAGACTGTCTACCCTCTAAAATAAACTTATCATAGAAAGACAGACCACTGCATTAGCAAAGTCCTTATCAAAGATGAGCATTTGTTAATGACATCACTAAATTCATTGAAAAATACACATCATAGGAATAGCTAATGAAAAGTTTGCTAACCTGGTGGAGGTGATGGAGGTGATGGATGCTGACGAACCACTATACTTTCAAGGCGATCATATTTACTCTCTAGAATATCAATACGCTTTTGTAGTGATTCCTTTTCTTTTCGAGTTGTTTTCAGTTCTTCCAACAACACAGCCTTAGAAGTACTACCACCTTTCAACTCCTTAGTGGTTATCCCACCACCAAATCCAACCGCATGACTTTTGCATTGAGGTCCAAAGCACCTTTCCACTACCTCAATATTAGTAAGAGACGGTTCAGATTGTACAAGCTCTTGAATTTCAGCCTATAAAATACAAGAATGTTTAAAATATTTCAATGAATCAATCCAGAGAGAAAATGTTAAATGAAATTTATCGATAAACATACATATTTTTCATTGGTTTCGGGTTCGACAAGCTCATTTCCCTTTTTACGAGTCTCAAAGAAGATAGTTGCCATGTTTGGTGGATTACCATCTTTGCCTCCCTTAACAATAAAAAAAGTAAGCACTATAAGATCTTTTATACAAAAAGGAGGTTTCCTTATAGGGTTTCATGATTTATTTACCAGTTCGTAAATAATCTCTCTTATAGGCTTGCTACCCGTACGATGAGGCATACACAACTTAGACCTGTTGATTGTGTTTCTTGTACTTGATTTCTGCATTAACAACACAAGCTGAAATTATCACAAGCTTGTTTAATGATTCTATTTTTATTCTTAAATTAACTTTTGTAACTACTTTGTATCCTCTTGATCACAAATGAAATCATTTAATCAAAAGAACTATTCCAAAACAGTAATCATATGTGACTTGGAAATAAAATGATATTAATCAATAGCTATGCAATCATACCTTAAACTTATCAGATAAAAAATGTTCCTTGACCAACCATTCCCAATCACTCTTGTCTACTCCTATCGGCACATCTTTTAGAACCTCGTGCAATGACTTGGATTTCATATTCTTGTGCAACGATCCTCTCCAATTGTTCCAAAGCTTTCTCATATGTTGCAAAACATTATCCCTTTGATCATTCATGTTATCACAGTCAAACTTTTCCTGAAATAGAGAAAAATATCATCAGAATCAGAGAAAGACACATTTGATTGCAAGTTAATGTTCTTGATTAATGGATTTGAAGGGTTGATCTTGCATGTCAACTATGTAAGAACTTTGTATGGGGAGGTACTGCAGATCAGAGAAAGACACCTTTGATTGCTTGGGATAAGGTGTGCCTCCCATATATAATTTTTGAGGACTAAAAGTTAAGGGATGCATGAAATGGAATGAAGCTTCTGTTGGCAAACTACTATATGGAAGGTTTCAGAATAGCACATCCTCTAGGTAACATGGACACATGCAGTGTATATGAAGTAATATGGCAATATATGAGATCACATACCACCTATAGATTGTTGTTGCTACTGGAGAAAGTTAACATCTCTAAACACTGGGATGGTTGATTAGTACCAAAAGAGAAAGTACAAGTTGACAAAGAGTGAAACGTACGTAATCAGCCACCAGGAGTTAAGGAGTTATAGGGGTCCAGACCAGTCTTTGGGAAGCATATCTTACTTGGACAAAATTTATGCAACCAAAGCATAATTAAATTTATCCTCTGGTTGGCAAACTAGAACAAGTTGCTTACGAAGACTCGAATGATGACACTGAACATGCAGGTGCAAGATGCAAATTGTTGTCTATGTTTAACAGGGGTAGTAGAAATTCCTCAACACTGAGTGTGAATGGATCACGAAACTAAATAGAGAGTGAATAGTAAGACTGAGGAGGGGAATTTTTTGTTTGTTTTGGTAATAGCTATTCTTAAACAAAGACCATAATAAGGTCTAAACAAAGGCAACACCATAGTATTTTAAACAAACACAAGAAGAAGAGGAAAAAATATTGTTGTTACAGTAGCAGCGGTATCAAGTCAGCGAAAATAAAATAGAGTAATGTTGTAATTCTTACTGTAACAGCTGCCCACATATGCTCAATTTTATGCTCTTCAATATCCATCCATGAGTGTACCCGCAATGGGCACATATTACGATCACGAACTAGCAAACCCAAGTGTCTCGTAAATGAGGTGTGATTCGGCCCAACAGCTCGATTTTGATAGAAAGTGACTTTTAACTTTTCTCCAGGTCTTAATCGCAAAACTTTCTTACAAATGTTTGTTCCCCTCACCTTGGTTGTCCTATCATATTCACATGGACCTGCAAAATTTAAAGTAAGTCAACTATGCTCTTTGATATAAATTTGATCTTTAGTGATAAACCATCAAAAGAATCTGGAGAATAGTCCAGTAGTTAAGTTTTAGGTGTCAACTTTTGAAATTATTACTGTATACAATGGTCTGGTCTTTTTAGATCTATTAGACCAAATATGCAAAATAACATTTTATCTGGTTTTCGACAAGTACCCATCCACAGCTCCAAACCAAGTGACAACTAGACAAAACAGGCAGAACATTGCCCATTGCAAGAGATGAGGCCTCAAGTTGCCAAAAAAAATGTGATACAGAAAGGGGCAACTAGTAGTGAAATAAATATTGGAAAGCTTAAGATCCCAAATTAGTGACTTTCAATTTTTAGAAACTTTCATTCAGAAAATCACAATTGATGAATCAAGAATCAGTGGAGGTTAATATGGTTAGGACTAGTGAA